GCTCCACTAGGGTGTATACATGTTGGCAACACATGTATACATGCATAGGAGCCCTAGGTGTAGTGTGGAAATAGAAATAGAAATAGGAAAGAAATTGGAAAGAGGGAGAAAAAGAAAAGGGAAAGCAGCCCGAGCAGCCCAAGCCGTCCCAACGCCACGGCACGAGCGGCCTCACCCGTGCCCACTCTCGCGCTCGCACCCGCAACGCCGCTGGCCCAACGAGATGGCCTAGCTTCACGCTCAGCCTTGCACACGCGCACCGGCCTGCTTCGCCCGTGCTGTGGCCCAGCACTGCGTCCGCTCTCCTATGCCTGTGCCCGCGCTCCCATGCCCACGTGGCCCAACAACGGCCTATGACCATGCCCCGCGTCACGACGCGCTGCCGCTGTCGCCTTTCCCCGCCGCTGATCGCTGGGCCCTGCTTATCATTCCCTTCGCTCTCCCTCCCCACCTCTGAATACCTGGATGGCCCGGAGGACAGCCCTAGCCCCCACGCCACCATTGTCGGGGCCTCACCAGAGCCCCGCCACATGCGCTGCCGCCGAGCGGACTCCGCCATGGAAACCGATCACCGGCGCCGCCTTCACGAGCACTCCAGTCACCCCGATCAAGCGAAAATGACCCATCTTGAGCCCTAGGTGCTCGCGCAGCTAAACTGCCATGGCATCCATGTCCACGGCCATGCTAGCCATCGTTGACAGGCTACGAAGATACAGCCCTTGCCCTGGTCGCCCTTGCTGGAGAGCCACAGACTGAGGTGCAGGACCCCGACTACACTGCGGAGCTTGGAGATGACCTGCCAGGTGCCACGTCCCACCCAACCTCGTAGAATTCTATTAGACATGCTATAGTGTAGATGCTAGTGCTTTACTTTTATGCAAATGATCTGTGATAGGTTGCATGGTAGAATTGCTTGTGAGCCATTACCTTGTCGCAACCTATACCCCTGCACACCCGCTGTTAAGTTAGATGCTCGCTTACTTACTTGCTACTACTTCATGTGATGTGATGCTTGGTGGAGGATTGTATGTGAGTGGTTAAGGCACTGGGTGCCGGTAATGTGGTAACAACCGGGGAGATCTTGGCATGCGTTTTGGGTGTGTGGTGAGGGTAGAGTCGATCGAGCAGGATCTTACGACGAGTCGTTGGACAAGTCTTGCCAGGGGCGGTGCGACCTAGGCATACCCTATGAGTGGTACCTGTGGCGGGTGCATGTGAGATGAGGAGATCCCGGGATAGAGTGTCTTTATGGGATGAAGCCCGGGATGGAGGTGTCGTCGAGGCATGGGGTGTTGGTTATCCCCTATGAGAAGATATCTTGTCCAGTCCCCCTAAGGACTGGTATGTCGAGAGAATCGGATCACAGGACCGTACGTGCACGCCACTCGTCCCTAAATGGGTGGGGGGCGGATGCTAACCAGCTTGGACGGTGCCACTACTACTAGGATGGAAGTGGATAGTGTCGGGGGGTACGGGCGTTCGGCCCACACTCTCCTAAAACAGCGTAGTGACCTCTAGGGGGGCCGGTACTACGTCTCATAGTCTCAGCGTTTCGGTGGACTCTGAGGTGGCCTAGGGCTGAGTGGTAGGGTGGCATCGCACCGGTTGGGAGGTAGCCCGGTATCAGCCTAGGCGGGGCACCACCGATGATGGTGATATTGTGGTTCCAGGTGTAGAATCTCTGCAGAGTTGATCGATCTATATGTATAGCTGCGTCCTCGGATATGGATATTTCTATGACCTACGCTTCCCTTGATTAGTGAGAGGAGTCCTTTCTTCTTCTTCTTCTTCCCCCTGGGTTCTTGTGTTGGTTTCCGGCCTTGGATGATGAGGCAAGGTATGAGCGGGAGTCGTCCTTGTCGCCTAGAGAGTGTGAGAGTGGTGAGATGTGTGTGATGGGATGTGAGAACGTGTGGATGAGATGAGTTAAAACTTGATGAATTGTTATTAAAACTTGACATACTCGTATAGGAAACTACAGTCACAAATAGGTCTTTTGCTCTACCCTTGCATTCCACTACCATAAAGCAAACACAAAGCATAGGGTGGGAGCCAGTGGCCAGTACAATTCGTACTAATAATTGTTTGACAGGTTCTGAGCCTGAGTACGACTACCAGGGAGATGGTTGGGAGGATTAGAGGTCTTGTTCCTGCGCTCAAGTTTGGTTAATAAGATGGAGTTGACGTCCACTGCCTTTATACTTGATGCTGTTCCGGATGCTGCATGCTCTGAGTGATTCTACCAAGTGGCGATGTAATAATGAGTAAACCTTGCTATTTGTACTCTCTTTAAGACAAGTATTTGATGTATGACTGTGATATCGACTGTTATTTGATAATGTGATAGAATGATCACCTGAGACTATCACGTTATATTTCAAATCTTTGGATTTCCCTTCGAGGAAATCGGGATCATTTCAGGCACCCTATTGAGGGTTTGGTGTGTGATGCCAATTAGCGCGTGAGCCTCAAAGTGAGTGAATCGCCACAACGAGGACTAGCTTGCCGGCAAGCAAGTGAACCTCGGTAAAAAATATTATGTCATCTTGTCCGATGATTTCTTGGTATTCATTGTGATTGATTGGCTTCATCATTGTGATTAGCTCAATTCCTCTACACGGCGGTATTATCATTACATCCCCTACCTTGTATTTATTTTTCTAGTGTTGCTTCGCTCTTTAGTGTAATTAGTTTTGAGAGCAAGCTTGTGTCGGGTTTAGTGGTTAGTGTAGCCCTTTAGTTAATCTTTGAGAGTACACTAACTTAGTGTAGTGACATATCCATTGTGTGCTTAGAGATCATAGACACTAGAATTGTGGTAGGCGGCTTGCTTTTTAGTAGGCTAGCGCAACACTCGCTTCACCGTTTAATTGTCTAACAAATTTGCTAAGTGTTATTTTAGAAATTTTTAATAGGCTATTTACCCCCTTCTAACCATTAGGACCTTTCACAATTCACCACTCATCTTAGGCCATTTAGTCCTTACATAGATAGCATGGATTGAGCAATGTTATTGTTTAATATTGCCTAAATTTTTATTGTGACATCGAACCAAACATGGCTTAAAATTGCTCCTTGATTCATTTTCTATATGACATTATATATCCTTTAATAACAGGGTCAATAAACTGTTGAAGTAACCATATGCTATTCTTATTAAATTCAGACATCGCTGTTGTTCTTGGTAACGAGCCTCATATGCCCGATACAAGTTTTTTTTAAGAAAAAAACAAAGAATGAATGCCTCCATGGTAGAGGAAAAAAACACCTTTCAACTTGATTGAACTTGATGTTCCAACAGAAGTACAAGCTGGTTTGGTTTCAAGTGTGACTTCATTAATCTCGAGATTTGTCGGTCCAACTCAGTTCTTTAGAGGTGCTCATAGGGGTAGACTGTGCATTTGTGTTCGTAGGGGTGAGTGTGGACTCGTGTATGTGAGCGTCTGCGTAGCAACAGGGTCTCGCAAAAAAGAAAAAGAATTGTGTTGTGGTGTTTATTATAAGTAGGTACTCATGTAACTTGCGCATCCATGTGAGGTTCAAAAGTTTTGTAAACATAGTATATAACATTTAACAAAAAAGAAGAAGCTTATGGCATTCATATAAGTATATAACTGTGAATATATGGTACATATAGGTTTTAGTCCGAATGTAGTTCATCATTTTTCTGGTTGCAATATTTTTTTCTCTTGGCAGGAAGAAACCACGATTAATTATCTGCTTTTGCACAATTTGGTTGTTCCTGTTCCTGTAACTTCAATAGTTAGGTGTATAACTTTTGCTGTTGTATGACTTGTCCTCATCGAGTGCAAGACAAACAGATGAGTACGTATGCATCATAATGCATGATCCACTATCCACATTATGAAGGAGGCTCGGTTTTGTGAATGAGCTAAATCAACATCAACAACGAAATGCGAATATAAGTGATCTTTCGAAAAAATAAATGCGAATCTAAGTGGTCGTTAACTGGGTATCGAAAAAAAAGGGCCAGGAAACCCTTTTCAAGAATCGCATCAAGCCATTACTTTCTGGCACCTCTTTTCGCTCCTCCTATCCACAGGAGGAAAGCAACCATACCTCATGCTTTTTCTTAAAGTTAATTATTGTGAGATCACTTCCCAAGTTCCCATCATATCTATTTACTATTTTCTTTGAATGGAAAAGGAGACACGTGTATTAAACCATTTAATTTTCATCTCATGACGCTTCAAATTAGCACAAGTTTGCATTCATTTTCTTCTATTGTCGTTTTACACTCTCTTGTTACGTCAACACAACAATGACCCTGAATCATTGGTGCGAACCGGTTGCTTCGCTTGTAATCTTACATTCATCATCTCTATAGTCCTATGAAAATTAAGTGACGATGGAACTTACCATAAAACGTAGGTAAATCAGTGAAACTAATTAACTAGTAGGAGTACTACTTGTGTGGTCTTGTGCCCTTTATTTTGGAGACGAAATTTCACTTCAGCGAGCACGTGAGCACAAAGTCAAGATTTCTAACACCTATCTGAAGGACATTTAAAACCTGATAAAAGGTCACGCACCAACCACAGCACGGCACGTACTATCGCCACCAGTCCAGGACTCCACAGGTCCAGCAAGGCAGCAACCGCACCGCAGCATCGGCCATGGCGGCCACCGGCCTCAGCCGATCCGAGACATTCCTGTCCGGGTGAGGCCAACCGCTTCACTCCTCTCGGTAAACCGGCGATCCAGTCCAGCCGAGCCGCAAACCAAAAGCAAAGCAAAGCGCCCGAATTAAAAACAGGACACAGGACAGGGAAAAAAGCTCGCAGAAGTGAGCTCCCACCTCCCTCCCTCCCTCCCTCTCTCTGTCTCTGTCTCTCCGCTCGGCGCTCGCACCACCGCCGAACCCTCCGATCCAAACCCTCCTCGCGTCGCGCCGCATGCCTCCACGCGCGACGAGGCGGCGGCGCTGCAGCTGACCACCCCACTTGACCCGCCGGGAGAGAGACAGACGGACGGCAGGCATGGGCGGCGTCACGTCCACCATCGCCGCGCGCTTCGCCTTCTTCCCGCCCACGCCGCCGTCCTACACAGTCGTGGTCGCCGACGCCGCCACCGGCCGCCTCGCCATCCCGGAGATCTCCCGGGCCCCCTCGCGCCGCCGGAGGCGGGACGGCGCCGGGGGCTCCTCCTCGGCCTCCTCCGTCGCGGCGGCCGCCGAGGAGGAGGACGGCGCGGAGGTGGTGCGCCTCCGGACCCGCCGCGGGAACGAGATCGTGGGGGTGTACGTGCGCCACGCGCGGGCCTCCGCCACGATGCTCTACTCCCACGGCAACGCCGCCGACCTCGGCCAGATGTACGGGCTCTTCGTCGAGCTCAGCCGCCGCCTCCGAGTCAACCTCTTCGGGTAAATGCTCCGCCCCCGCCACTTCAGGTCGCGCGATTGCCAATTTTGCTGCGAGCTGGAGGGCTTTTCCGTTGGGGGAAACATACGGGAGGGTTTTGGTGCAGGAAGTGTTCGATTTCTGGTGTTCCCTTGCATTTATTGCTTGATTTGTTGGGTTTCATATCTCCTAACTAGGTGCTTCGATTATGCAAAGTGATGGGGTTTGCAGTTTGCTCTAATTTTGGGACCCTGTAGCGGCAACAACCTGTTAGCAGATGGAATTAATAATTGATGGGAGATAATATTGGATCACACAGGCCCCATTTAGGTTAGATGATGTGGAAATTAACCTGTATATTTATAGTCGCAAACAACTACTTGCTTGCCCTAACAGCCATACCAGCAAATCCTTGATTTGCAGATTTCTCCCCCAAATTCAATTGATTATCTTAACGAGATACTTGCATCTAGTGCATTGCTTACGGATCCTGTTCAACGAAAGAAATAGGTAGGGCTTTGGAGTGCTGAATGCAAGAGTAATTGGTGGGGTTTCTTATGTTTCATGTAAGAGTAGTAATTTCTTTCGCATGAAAAGAAAAAAACAACAGGCTATATAGATTATTAGTTATGCACTAGATAGCGACTGTGCCAACATTGTAGGTGTGCCAGAGAGGCAAGATAATGTATTTTGTGGATGTATCTTGGATTTTACACCTTGAACTTTTTCGATGCTGATGAGGTGGTGCCTTGCATTTTGAGGCATGATTAGCAGGTCTTTCTAGGTGGATTGCATTATGCAGGGACATGTCAGACGTGCATCAGATTTGGATTCCAAGGGATCCTTTTTTTTTCCTTTCTCATATATAATTTTGCTGTAGGACATGGAGATTTACTTTGTGACTGCTGAAGAAAATTTTCTTTCATGGTTCTAATTTGTAATCATGAAAAGCTTTGGTAACTCCAAAGATTTATGTTAGACTGAGACTAGAACATGTTTTTTTTAACTTTATTGCTGAACAGCATAATCTCTATCTGCATCATTTACATATTCTTTCTGCAAAGCATATCCAGCATTGCTTGCTCTTCCATCCCAAGGAAATATGATTAACCGCATTTTAAAGTGCCTGGTTTCTGTCTTGAGTTTCATTTGGAACAATGTCGAACCTCTTTGCTAAATAGGCTTCTCCTCTAGACTGATGCTTAATTTGTGGCCACAGTTAGTTCCTCCAGACTGATGCGTAATTTGTGGCCACAGTTAGTTTTCCTCTAGGCTGATGCTTAATTTGTGGCCACAGTTGGTTCCCTAGTCTTTTTCCCTGAAAGTGATTTTAATATACTTATATATTGCTGCAGGTATGATTATTCTGGTTACGGGAGATCTACAGGGAAGGTATCTTTTGTTCATTTATTTTGACCGCTTAACTAATAACTTATGTAGCAACTATAATCTTCTCCCTAACCATATCTTAATAGACAGTTTATTCTTCCATTGAACAGCCCACTGAGTGTAATACATATGCAGACATTGAAGCAGCATATAACTGCCTCAAGGAAAAATATGGTGTCGCAGATGAGGATATAATCTTATATGGTCAGTCTGTTGGAAGTGGTCCAACCATTGATCTTGCTTCGCGATTGCCAGACTTGCGAGCCGTGGTTTTGCATAGTCCTATTTTATCTGGGTTAAGAGTACTATATCCAGTCAAACGGACGTTTTGGTTCGACATTTACAAGGTATATTTGGTTCTTTTGTTTCCTGGAGTTATTGGTTGGTTGGTAAATAACTGATATCTTTTCTCTCCTTGCTGTAGAACATCGACAAAATTGGCTTGGTAAATTGTCCGGTGCTTGTCATTCATGTGAGTTCTTGGTGGAATTAACTTGTGATACAATACAGTAGATTGAGCATGAAAATGGGTGATTCCTCATCTGTGATAAGGACATACACAGTAGAATGAGTAATACTCACTAATCACTACTCACCCCAATCCAAGTATGTTAATAATGAACATTCAGATTTGTCGAAGTTGTAGACAGTTATCAAGTGGGCATCTTAAGAAACTAATGTTTGTTAATTCAGTATCATAGTTGCTTTGGTAGATTATTGCTGCTCTGACTAACATGACCTGATACTTTCTTGTACCAGGGTACATCAGATGATGTTGTTGACTGCTCCCACGGAAAACAGCTATGGGAGCAATGCAAAGTAAAATATTCTCCACTGTGGCTAAGTGGTGGTGGCCACTGCAATCTCGAGCTATATCCAGATTACATTAAGCATTTGAAGAAGTTTGTGTCAAGCGTTAGCATAAAAACATCAAAACCTGAACCAAAAGAGATAATGGCAAAGGATGGCACTACCAGTAAAGAAACAAAGGAAGCATACTCGGAGAAACCTCAAGAGGCTACAAAGTGCTCACAGATCTCACGTAAGAGCCTAGATAGCCGAGTCGGGAAATCCAAAACAGTGGATGTTCCTGATAAACCACGGATGAGCTCAGATGACATTGACAAGTTCCGGAGGAGAAGATGCTTGGTTTGGTGATGATGATTCCTATGTTCTGCACAAATTGTGGAACAGTACCTGAGTGAGGATACAATGGCATGGAAATCAAGCAACTGTATTACATCATGTTGCGAGGTACGGCATCAGCAGTTCCTGCAGTGGAGAGGAAAGAACTGTTAATTAAATAAGAAAAAGAACCAGGAAGCTACCATCGTCATCCATCAAAGACACAGCTACTTGACTGAAAACTGGTAGTTTCTCAGTTAATTTAACACTTACACCGTCAACATGTTTTGCAGCATCGGTTAGGGTTTCCATCATGTAAAAGTGTACCATTATTGTCTGTAATCACGGGGGACCAATACAAACATTTGCCGCCCCTCTGTGCAAAGTCTGAAAGCCTTAACGGAATCACGAGCACCAGTCTATTCTTGGTGCACTGGTGTCTGGTTCACATGCGTTGTGGAACACTGGAACCATGTGTGAGCTTTACCCTGTATACTGATCTACTCCAACCTTATTATACGGATCATGCTCCACATATCAATTGGAAACTGACGGTGAAACGGCAGCAAGCATGTGCACATCACATTTGTCAAAGGTCAGGCTAGTCAAAAGCGACATCTATTTAGTACTCCATCTCGAAATAAGTGACGTTTTTGACTTTCAGACATTGACCGTTCGTCTTATTAAAAAAATTTATAAATATTATCTATTTTGTTATGACATATTTTATCATTAGAGATACTTTAATAATGATTTATTTATTTTATAATTTATGTAAAATTTTTGAATAAAACAAATAGTCAAATAAGATGTCTGAAAGTAAAAAACGTCATTTATTTTGGGACGGAGGTAGTAGTACTCATGTATGTATATGTACATACCATTCACCACTCTTTACACATATATGTAACATTCCCTCTGTCCTGACAGCACCAACAGAACAAATATTTACATCAGCAGGAACTACGAAGCCTGGAAACAAATGACAGGCAATCTGGCATGCCTCACAGTCACACAACAGCAAAGCAGTTCTCTATGCGGAAGCCTAAATACAAACATGAAGCACAAATAAATCTCGGGCGGTCTTGGTCCTCAGTACTAACCAATCTAGTCCTTGCTGGTGTTGGGCGTGGTGGTCCTGCTGTCCCACGGAGCATGAACCGTGGTGGGAGACACGGGCCCGTCCTTGTTCTTCTTGTCTCCGTCCTTCTCCATCAGGTATTCACCCTGAATGCTCCTGAGCACCTCGAGCACCTCCTTGATGGGCGGGCGCATCTCGCCGTTCTGCTGCAGGCAACGGAAGGCCAGCTCCGCGACCATGGTCATCATCTTCTTGGTGGCCGGGTCGGTCTCGTAGCCCAGGCCGAGGTCGACGAGCTCCTCCAGCTGGCACTTCTGGATCTTGCTGATGGCCATGCCGGCCAGGTTGATCTCGTTGCGGTGTCGGGTGATGTCGACGGCGGGCTTCGACGAGATGAGCTCCGCCAGCACCACTCCGAAACTGTAGACGTCGCTCTTGTCCGTCAGCTGGTAGCACTGGTGGTACTCTGGATCTACATACCTGCCAGCCATGTGCAAAAACACAAAATGTTCTCTGTTGATCAACGGAACTACATTTTGGGCAAACAGTAAACTGGTCGATGTATGAAACGAACTACGACGGCATGGACATACCCTGGTGTGCCCTGGGGAGCGGTGGAGACGTGCGTGACGTCGAGGGGGAAGAGGCGGGAGAGGCCGAAGTCGGCGACCTTGACGTGGTAGTCGGCGTCCAGGAGGATGTTGGTGGTCTTGACGTCGCGGTGCACGACGGGCGGCTCGATGGCGTGCAGGTAGGTGAGCGCCGTGGCGGACTCCACGGCGATGCTGAGGCGGAGCGGCCACGAGAGGGCGCGCTCGGGGGCTCGCTGCCCGTGCAGGTGGTCGGCGACCGTGCCGTTGGCCACGAACTCGTACACCAGCAGCAGCTCGCGGCTCTGGCTGGACGTGCAGCCGTAGAACATGACCAGGTTCGGGTGGCGCAGCCCGGACAGGATGGCCGCCTCGTTCTGGAACTGCTCCACGCGCCGGTAGCTGTTGTTGTACAGCCGCTTCACCGCCACCACGCGCCCGTCCTTGAGGTACCCTGCAGATCGAGCACAAGGAACACCAGGCTTGAGAGATCATTTCTAAGCCACCATCACCGAGTTCTCTGTTGGCACTGCAAAAGTGCAAATCCAGAGAGACATCATTTCTAGGAGTACCTTTGTAGACGGTGCCGAAGCCACCATCACCGAGTTCTCTGTTTTCATTGAAGCAGTTGGTGGCCTCCTCGAGCTCCTCGTAGGTGAAGAGGTGCGTTGGCGGGTCCTCGATGCTGCCGGACTCCACGTCGCCGACCCGAGAACGCGGGGTCCCATCAGAGCCGCTGTACTTGAGGAGCTTCGAAGATGAGTTGATCACTTTCTTCTGCTTCCTCTTGCGCATGAACAAAAATATGGCAGCGGCAAGCCCTGCAACACCAGCACCACCAGCCACGACACCTGAAAAGGTTGCGTGAGTTAATATTACAGTCATATTAATCTTACTAGTAATATTGCTGAAAGCTGCGTACTTCCAGGAGCAGGTGTGTGCAGTTAACTATAAAATGATACGAAATACTAGGGAGTGCAGCAAAATTTGTGGGAACAAAGGGGATGTATTTATGCAGAAAGCCAACAGTTGGCAATTTAAGAAACATTCGCTCTGTTCTACAACACTATTTCAGCAGTACTTTTGAGCGAACGAATAGTGTTTTCTCTCTCACAACAAATCAGCATAAGCCAAATTTTAACGAAATTTGTAGATAAAGGCTCCGTAGTGCTTACCTGCAATAATTGCTGTTTTCTTTTTTGACCCTGTATGCCAACGAACAAAAGACAATGTCAGATTTGAGCAAGATTAAGCTGATTTACATCAAACAGAAACACAAAGCACAAAAGTATTACTGCAAACCTAGAAATTTACATCAAACAAAAGTAGTACATGCTACTCGAAATAAAGAAAACTCATGCAAGGAAGACAATGTAAGAAAATTAACTGCAAACCGAGAAATTTTGGTGGTTATTTTCATTCAATTGATCAGGTACACTTGTTAAAATTCAGTAGTTCAGTAATAGGATATGGAGTTTCATTTGTATAAACTCAATTGAATTATATGATGCGTAGCAAGAGCTAGAAGCAGCAAAAGTAACTTTCTATTGTTGTTTCCTTCCTCTGTTGAAATCGCAGACATAATTCTCCTTGTCAATAAAGCAAGGGATCCAGATCCTGCTGGTAACTTTGGCCAAAATGTAAACCAAGTTCAGTGTCCTTTTTGACCAGATAGGCAGATCCTGCATTTTGAATAATCTATATCTTGTAGTAATAGTGGAGCATGATGCAAGATCTTCCTTTCTGTCCTCTCTTTTATTTTGCTGAAACTTGCTCCTCTTTAGGAAGATACGATGCATCATGTAATAACATGGAAAAATGCTACGATACAGGGAAAAGTTGCGGAGGCAAGTAATCAATTCGCCTTTGGTGAATAACTTGGTCTTTGTATATATATTATTATAAAGTCGTAATCATAATGTCCCTCAGGACTCAGGACACAGGGCTATAGGTAGGAGGTCGGCATCAAAATAAAGGTGGGCAACAAATATCTTGCAAGACAGACATCTGAAATATTCCTAAGCTTTCTGAATAGCCAAAAGTGAACATCTCAATATGAAATCAGAGAAGTTGAAAGCCATCAAATCAAAGAAGAAGCAATTTTTACCAGTACTAGTTTTTGAGATTATATCCTCATCAACATCTCAAACAAATCAGAGCAGTTTGAAAAGGCTAACCAGGGAATCAAAGTCTTGAATGAAGAAGGTTTGAAATGTAAAGAACACAATAATCTTTGAAGTCCTTGAACATAGAAATTTTAAGCTAGAGGCTCATGGCTCATACTGTTGCAAAGTAGTACAGTGATTCCACAGTCTATCCAGTTACCAATAATGTGAGTGAAAATGCCTATATGAAGTTGCTATCTCAGGCATCAACGGTCCCAATTAACGTGAACACCAGCGACTCAGGCAACCACAAAAAAACTGAATCGCCGCGGTTTTCAGTTATTAGATAGAGCGACGAGATGTCTGTCTCTGAAATTAACAAGACTACGCTAGTAGTGCGCAACAGTTTCTGCTGTGCTCCTACATCGACAGGTGGGGCATGGATCTCTCGTTAAGGCCATGTTCGCTTGTCTTATAATCTGTACTTTTCAGCTTATTTTTTTAGCCGGAACAGTGTTTTTTTCTTGCAACAAATCAGCCGGAACAGTGTTTCGGCTTGTTTTTCCAGCGAAACGAATGGGACCTAAGTCATTAGACGCGCAACCATTAATTCCGCAAGTAGCTCTTGCCGGGGAGCGTTGTTTGGGCCTCTCTGTCGATCAGGTGGGGTTTTCGGCCATAAACGTCGTAAGGCTTCAATCAGCAACAGCCTACTGGCTAGGCTACAAGCTACGAGTCTTGTACATGAAGGTAAGCTACTGTCATGCAAACCGTGATGTGGCAATCGATCGTAGCAAAGGACACAGTCCTTCTAAGCAATTAATTATGTATAAGTGCCTGGAGAGTACTGAAGAGCAGTGTTAGCCGCATGATTTGGTGCTGCAGCCTGCATGGCTAACAAGGGTACGGAAGGTAGGAGAGATGGATGCTAAGATACTTCCAAATTCTCAACTGGTCCCTGTCCGTACGACGACACACAACCAAGAGGAAGAAGTCTTGGGCGAGACGGAGCCCCGTCGCTGTGGCTCTATCGATTTTCCTCAACGCGTGGTCGTGCTGAGAGCGACGTGACCGAACTCGGTGATCTCAGAGGCCGACTCGTCCCAACAGCCCCGCCGGCGACAGACACTGGAAAACAAAACGCGAGGTGCCGTTGCGCCATCGGATCGGAGCGGTGCTTTCAAGCTATCTATGAGTCTATGACACATCTCTATCGAGAGAGGACGGGTTACTGAGCAGCAGAGCCGGAACTAATTGGACTGACGCGCTTTAAGCTCTGGTTCGTTTCACACCCAGATATTTGATAGTGTCTGTCTGTATTTCTAACGCGACAGTGTTTTCTCCGGACAGAAAAGAAAGCGTTAGCGTGCAGGAAATCATGGATTATTAGCAGCGATATGGTGCGTAATTATGCAGGTAATAAGGTTAATCGCTGCAAGCAACAGATAGTTAACGACGCCTGATTGAATGAATGCACGGTATCGAAGGCTAATAATGGCTCGATCCTTTCTATGGCGATTTGGACGACAGAGGCATGGTTATTAGTTTATTACGTACCGGGCCAAGACAGAGCGGAGGAGTCAGCTGATATCTTACTGCAACCGCCGTCGCCCACGCTGCCGTCGGCGCAGAGGCAGCCCAGGAACTCGCCGGCGCGGTTGTACCCACACTTGCCGCTGGACTGCTCGCATTGGCCGCACGGACCGGAGCTCCGGTCCCAGCCCAGCTGGAACCCCGCGCGGAGGGCCTTGGCGTACCCGTCGTTCCTCCACACCGGGTCCTCAGCGACAGCCTTGGACGGGACGGAGCTCTTGAGCACTGGCACTTCGAAAACCTGCCGGCACGCGCTCGACCAGTCGCCGGGAGGCACCTCGCCGCGCGGGAGCACGAACGTCATGGAAGCCGGTTTGTCCATGTCTCCACAGGTGATGGGCTTGATGGTCGGCGGCTTCGGCGGTTTGGGAGCGGGCTCGGCCTCCGTGCCGAAGGAGCAGCCGACGAAGAAGAAGAGGTAGTTGACGCTGTGGAGAATAAGGGACAGCTGGACGGCCGGTGGGATGGTCACGTTGTGGTCCACGACGGGGCATCCGCCGTTGCCCGCGCCCGCGGCATCCGCGTCGGCGAGCGAGACGATCAGGTTGGCGTAGTCGATGCCCGAGACCGTGTAGTTGTCGTCCCCGAGCTTCAGGACGGGCTTGTTGTTGGCGTCGTCGCAGCTGACGGCGAGGCCCGGGTAGCCGCAGTAGGACTCGCCGTCGTGGTCTGGGACGGCCTTCGCGTCGTCACTGGCAAGGTAGAACGGGTAGCTGATGTTCACGCCGCCGCAGAGGTACGGCCGCGACCGGCACGTGGAGACGGCGTACGTGTCGTCATCGCCGATCGACGCGACGGCCGCGGCGAGTAGGAGGAGTACGAGGAGGAGGAGGACTCGGTCGTGGTGGTGGCTCGGGGTCGGGGACGGCATGGCAGGTGGCAGCTCTGTTCAGCTCTCCGGGGTTTCTGGCGCGCGGTTTTGGTTGGCGGACGGCGGGCAGGCGGCAGGCTCCGTTTTTTTTTTTTTTTTTTTCTGTCAAGCGATGTTTTAAGCCGCTTTGGCAGTGGCAAGTGCAGCCAGCCGTGCAGTACCGGCGTAGGTTGGGTGGCTGACACTGACGACGGGCAAGGACACAAGGGCACACGGTGGCTTGACGAGGGGCCTGCGCCTGCCTGCTTGTAGTAGCGGACTCGCGAGTCGCGACGTTGTCAGCCTACCGCGCCACACTGCCAGAGTCGCTGCGCTACCTGACCCACCACCCATGTCCCTATCCCGTGGCGACTCCAGAGCTTGGCTAGTCACTTTTCCAAATTGGCGTAAAAAAGGGAAGAGCTCTTGGTCGTCTATGCTTTTTTTTATTACTACTGGTATTGTGCAGGTGGTTTCTAGAAGGAAGCTGTTTTTTTTCCTCCAATTTTCGTTTTGGAATGGTTGTCCTATTCTCCTGCTCGTGTTCAACGATGCCGTATGTATGCTACGGCAGAAATGCTTCGGTCAGTGGAGGAGCCTGTTCGCTCGCTAAAAACCCATGGCTGAAAGTACTTTTCGTTAATTTATTGTGAGAGAAAAACACTGTTCCTTCGCTGAAATAGTACGGCTCATAAGACAAGCGAACGGGGCCTATGGCTGTGAAGGACAGCTAGAAATTTGAGCTGTTTCCTCCTATCACTGTGGCTTCCAGCAGTAGCGGTAGGCATGCGCCGGCGATGGGCTGTAAAAGTAACCCGAAGACCTTGGTTAAGTTCTGTTTCATTCCCACCGACGGCAGCCACGGAGAAATATAACAGCATGCGCGGTCCAAGTTGTGGACGTTCTGAGAGCAGAGCGGTCCACAACAACATATCGCGTCTAGATTGCGGGGAGAATCGGTCAGAGTGGCTGGTCCAGGGTCGTGTTCGGGTATTGCTTTTATTCCATTTCCATCCCAGCCTGTTCGCTTGAACTTATCAGCTAGGTTTATCAACTATGGTACAGTGTTTTTCTCTCACAACAAATCAGCTTCAGCCGGTTTATCAGTCGCAGAAACCATCAGTCGAACTTGAACCTATTTCATGTGGAACATTATAGAGTGGTAAGCGCGAGGGAGCGGCGGCTGCAGGTTTTAGGGTTGGAAGGAAACTGCCATGGTTCAAAACTCCATCAGCCACGGTATTGGATCGATTTGCCGTGAAGATGTGAATTAAGGGAACCGGAGCAGAGCAATATGTAACATACTTTTCCGTTCGAGACCGTATCCGGAAGGCCCAAGGGGAAGTAGATGATGAAGACTTAAGATATAACAACCTGGTGCCCGGATTCTGCTGGTGGTCCTGTTAAGGATATGGCTAACATTTCCAGATGGTTGATTGATTTTTACAGATTTTTCATCCGTTTATTTAGATACATTTCTACACCTTTTATTTTCAAAAACCAATCGAAGTTCTTTGTTCAGGCCAAGCAAGATATGATTTCATGGTAAATTGTGGAACAAAAACAAGTTTTTTTTTCTTATGAAGCTACAACTAGCAGTTCGACTAAAAAGGAAGAGAGAGAATTACGACAAAGCGCTTTATATCGTCTAATAAAAAATAGAGGCAAAACTCTTGTTTTGCAATCTCTCTTTTTTCTATCATCTAGTAAAAATTGCGGCAGAACTCTTGTGTCGAAAAAAAACTAGCAGCTACATACGAAGCGGCAAGCTAATTGACCCCCTTAGCGATTTGGAACCAAGAAAAGAGAAAAGGTAGTACAGCTGTACAAGACAGAAAGGGCTTACCGTTGCTGCATTCATGGTCGCTCACTTGGCCGTTGGTGCACAAAGCAACCCGCAAAGTCCCCAACTCTGCTGTAGGCACACCCTCCATTGGATCCCTCACACTTGGTAAGTGCGAGGGAGCGGCGGCTGCAGGTTTTAGGGTTGGAAGGAAACTAACACGGTTCAAAACTCCATCAGCCACGGTATTGGATCGATTTGCCGTGAAGATGTGAAATAAGGGAACCGAAGCAGAGCAATATGTAACATACTTTTCCGTTCGAGACCGTATCTGGAAGGCTCAAGGGGAAGAAGATGAAGAAGGCCCAAAATATGGCAAGCTGGTGGCAGGATTCTGCTGGTGGTCCTGTTAAGGATAGGGCTAAAATTGCTACATGGTTGATTGATTTTTACAGATTTTTCATCCTTTATTTAGATCCATTTCAACACCTTTTATTTTCAAAAATCAATCGAAGTTCTTTGTTCAGGCCAAGCAAAGATTTGATTTCAAGGTAAAATTTGAAACAAAACTTTTTTTTTTGTTTTTACTGAAGCTACAACTAGCACCTACCTCCCTACTTACAGTTGATGAAGCTGCAAGCTAATGGATCCCCTTAGCAATTTGACACCAAGGAAGGAGAAAAGGCTTGGTTTCAAACAAAAAAAGGGAGGAGAAAAGGCAGTACAAGACAGAAAGGGCTTACCTTTGGTGCATTCATGGTCGCTCACTCGCCCGTTGGTGCACAAGCAAGCTACGAATTCCCCATCTCTGTTGTATGCACAACATCCATTGGATACCTCGCACTTGGCACACCGGTCGGACCTCCGGCTTGAATTCCATTCCAACTGGAAACCCTGGTTAAGAGCGTTGCGGTACCCGTTGGTGCTCCATTGCTGATCGATCGTCAGTGAGGCGTTCTGAATCACCGGCACTTGGATAACTTGCTTGCACTCCCGTGATAAAGTTTGGTGGGGCACCTCCGAAGGAATCACAAAAGAATAACCATCTACACCATAACTTGCACATGCGATCGACTGGATGGTAGGTTGTCCAGGGACAAAGAGAGTGTTGATGGAGCAGTTGGCGAAGAAGAAGAGGTAACCAACGGTGCACTCCGACAGGTTCAGCCACAAGGTTGGCGTTGGCGAAACGGTGACGTTGTGGTCGACCCATGGGCAGCTCTCATCATCAAGGACATCCGGGTCGGCGAGGGAGATGGTGGAGTTGGAGTAGTCGATGCCCGTCACGTTGTAGGAGTAGCCTGTGTTGCTGCTGCTGCTGCCGAGTTGCATGGTGGGATACTTGTCGTCCACACAGTCGATGGCCAGCCCAGGGTACCCGCAGGAGGAGTTGTTGCCCAGGACATCTGCCGTCTGGCCGGAAAGATAGAACGGGTATCTGATATTCACTTTGCCGCATGTGTATGGTTGCAGCTGGCATATGGAGGGGTTGTAGTCGTCGCCGGAAGGATCGCCACGGGAAGCGGCAAACAAGACGGCAAGGAGGAGCGGCAGCGGCAGCCGGTGGCGTAGCGAGCAAAGGGCCATGGCTGATGGCTCAATAAGTCAGACGAGTGTTTTTTTTTTCCTCTCCCTCCCCGTAGTTTGTTGGCCTCCGGCCTTACCTCTCTCTGTTTATAAGGCAACAAGGGGCTGGGGAGTCTTCTCGGAAGGTTGGGTGGCAGACGAGGGCGGCACCAGATCGGAACAGCCGTGGTTGACCATGACCATCTTGGCCACCTGGGTGTCGCGAAATGCCAATCGCTGCCACGCAAGGTTGGCTACGGCCTATGACTCTTGCCTCCCCGTCGTTGTCCCGTCGGGGCTCGTGTTCTATCTAGAAGAAAGATTTGCGTTTAGCGTTGAACACTCCTACATGGTCAGCAACTACATAAATGCAGTGGTACTCAGGAGTCAGGACCCAGTCCTCTGATCCCCTTGTGATGCAGTGATGGGAACTTGGCAATCGGGTAAAGTTGCTCGTTCCGGAAAAACTATTTATGTTCCTATTATGTGAAAAAACATGATGCAGTACCACATTTCTTATTCCACGTCCCTCGTCTCGACAACTGTCACTCCAATAACACGGCTGCTAAGGTTTTTTTTTTACAACAGGCTGCTAAGGTTGGGGACCATGGAATGGGAGTAAACACAAAGTGGAACGACGTCACGAATCACGACTAAAGTGATGTTTAAATCCAGGGACTAAAGTTTAGGGTGTCATATTGGGTGTCACATGAGGATGTCACATGTGAGTGTTTGGAGAGTAATAATAAAACAAATTACAGAAGTCCTTATGAATCCACAGACGAATTTATTAAGCCTAATTAATCCGTCATTAGCACATGTTTAGCAGCACATTGTCAAATCATGGACTAATTAGACTTACAAAATTCGCCTCGCAAATTAGTCGCAATCTGTGCAATTAGTTATTTTTAGTCTATATTTAATACTCCATACATATATCCAAACATCCGATGTGATAGGGACTAAACTTTAAGGGATGAACTAAACGAGGCCTAAGACCAAGAACCACGTCTTTGGATAGAAAAAACACTCCTAGCAATTAGAGGATTCCATACGACAGTCACTGCTCTCACTACCGGTTTGTTGTCGCTCCAATACAGAGCTTGCACAGCAACAATGTCATGGAAGCTAGCAGGGATGGATCCAGCGGTGGGTGGGTGGGGCTCAAGCCCCCTAATGTCGCTAATTCCCCCCTAGAACCCTCTAACAATTTTGCTATGGCTGCTTTGGGGAGAAGAGGCTAAAGGTTAAAAATGACTGACTTCAGACCTCTCTGAATTTTCATTCTACATATGTCACCTCGGAAACATAAACGTATCTCTGAATTTTCATTCTACATATATCGCTTCGTCGCGCTGCCTACCCTACCACTGTACCACACTCGCTCTGTATACTGCACTGCAGCGCTGCGTGTACCGGGACGTTTGGTTCGGTGCGCAGCGAGGCAGGCGCTTCGACCTTCGAGAGCTCGAGTGGGGTGCGGGTGCGGCAGGCGAGTGTTCTGTCTGTGCGTCCGCGCGGCGTGCGGTGTGGTGTGTTCTCTTGGGCCGTCCGAGTCTGGACTCTGGAGTCTCCAAGAGGTGGTAACCACAAGTTTGGGCCTCCGACAGGCGGTAACGCAAGTTTGGGCCCCTCTTTGCCTGACACGGATGATGATGATGCCGAATGCACGGGAAACTGGTCGCATTTTCTCATCTGCCGGCAAGATCTCTCCTTCGAGCTACGGGAGAACTTCTCGCCCAACTGGTAGCATATTAGGCCCAACTTCTATTTTGAAGTGACGAAGCCCCAGCCACGTGATTATTAGGGTCTCCTTTGCGTAACAAGTTTGTGTAATTTTTGAATTGAATTCATTCTATTAATTATAATTTAGACACAAATTAATCAAGCTAGTACGATTCTATATGAAATATATTTGTATATTATTATTAGCAATATAAGAGATACGTTTATGTTGCCTTTCTACTGTAGAGAAACGAGTATGGAATACCGCCTCTGCTCGTGATACGTTTATGACCTCGGAAACATAAACGTTTATGACCTCTCTGGTCCTTGTTCCACTCGGAAACAGGGGCAATACCGCCTCTGCTCGTGGAGCACGGCAGGCCGCCGGGCCGCCTGATGAATCTCGCTCACGAGAAAAGGACGGATTTGGTGCAAAAAGCAGAACGAGGGTCGCGAGGCTGTAAACATCCTTGTCGAATGATGCAAGCAGGAGCCAGAATTTCCAGCTCTGTACCTACCCAAGCATTAATTTCCCAGGCAAAACCCCAACGAAGTGTAGACTAGATCAGGTCAAGCGTTCACCGTTAGCACGAGGCAAGGAGCAGCGGGACGCGCACACACGGGACGTTGCGAGGATAGCTACGAGGTTCCAAGCTACTGACGCAACCGGTGCGTGCTCTGGTGATTGCAAAACAAAAGGGTCGGTTCAGAAGGACTTACGTGATGCAGTTGCGGTGCTCGCAGTCGCAGGGACGATGTGTTCGCAGTCCGGCCAGCCCGCCTTCCCTCCGTGGCACAAGCAGCCCAGGAAGTCCCCAACCTGGCTATAGGCGCATTGCCCGTTCGACGCCTCGCACAGGTGACACCCATCCTCTGTGATACGGCTCCATTCCAACTCGAACCCACCCTTAAGCACGCCCCCGTATCCGCCGCTTGTGAAGTTGCTCTTGTTATAACTTGCTGCCATCAGAACATCGCCTCTCACTGGCACGGTGATAATCATGGTGTTGCCGCACTTCGTAGCCAATTCTTGCTCCAGATACCTGTCATGCTCATCAGTCATAATGACCACGAAGGAGTCTCCTGGGGCAGCACCTGGCGGACTCTTGAACTGCGTGCAGTTGATTTTGTATGCGTCGAATTCAGGCGGCACGGGACCGCGTGGGTCGCAGCCGAAGAGGAAGGTGAGGTTGTCGTTGTAGCTGCTGCTATGCAGCCATGTCTCGTTGAAGCTGACTTCATGGCGGACAGCAGGGCAGTCGCCGCCTGCGCCTCCGAGCACATCGCTGTCCACCAGTAGGATGGTCTGACGGTCGTAGTGGTAGGATATGTTCTCGACGGTGTAGTCGTCGCCGTCGAGACGGATGGTAGGGATCCAGGTCTGCCCCTCGAGTTTGCAGGAAATGCTCAAGTCGGTGTAGCCGCAAGAGAAGTTCCCGCTGTAATCGGCGGTTGCTTCGGTTGCGTTGGCAAGATAGAACGGGTAGCGGATTTCGACGACGCCGCACGAGAAGGATTCCGAGCACATGGAGACGTCGTAAGTGCTCGGAAGAGGAGGGTCGGCATGGGTAACAGGGACATGGACGGCGAGGAAGACGAAGAGGAGGACGGGGAGACTTGGTACTGGTAGGCGAGCAGCCATGGTGGCGAGAAGGCGAGGCGGCGTGCTCATGCTCATCTGACTGTTATATTAGCTCCAACTAGGCACGCGTTTGGTTCCCTGCGACTTGCAGCCGCCGCCGTTTATAGGTGCCATGGACTTGACCCGGCTTCGGGTTTCGGCGAAGGTTGGTTGCTGGTGGGCCGGAGGCAGGAGATAACACGGATTGAGACTTGGCCGTGGACTTGGCGGTCTTCTTCCCGGTCCGTGCCAAGCCGTTTGATCAGTGATCATCGGCTGCCTGCTACGTCATTCCTAGGCTTGTTGGTCCAGGCAGGCAAGATACGATCTTAACCTACTACTGCTTGGTACTGTATGATTTTAGTTGACATCCATTCGGACAGTATGCCCAATCAAAGGAATATAGCAGTATATATAAGCTAGTACTTGAAAATCTTCACTCACGATGTTTTCCTATTCCTTTTCTAGAATCATATCATATACTTTTATAAAACTAAACCCACTAAATAATTTCTCATGCAAGGTGTCAACATTATTCCCCACCAAGTGACTCCACTAAATGTTCTATCTTTTCATGCAAGGTGTCCACATCATTCCCCACTAAGTCCATATCATCCCTTATTAATTACAAAAAAAATATCCATGTTATCTCTATCATGTGAAATACTTTAAATCTTTAATCTATTAACATATAAGTCATCTACATATGCTATTTGTTTCGTCACCTATCCCTCTATAATGTAATCAAATATTATATTGGTTTTTCTTCTATTAGCTTAGCGATTTTTTACCAGATCTGATACAATAAAATAACATGCAAGTCAAATTCATATATATGTATACACAATATACAAAATACCATACATGAATGCTATGTATATACAGATTTATTTTTAAGAAAATCCCGCGGCAACGCGCGGGGCATACTTCTAGTTTTGTTAATTGATGAACCGGTGCTCCTAAACAGCATCAGTCAGCTATGGTACTGTGTTTTTCTCTCACAACAAAACAGCATCAGCCAGCTTATCAGGCACAAAAATCATCAGCTGAACAGCTCGTGGGTTTCCTACGAACTCATTTTGCTTTTGATCATACGTGGGAAAGTGGCTTTCAGATAGAAATAATTCTGTGTCTGAAAGTGTCACTAATGTTTTTTTGTTGATAAATTCCATGGAGAAAAAATGAATTAGGAGCAGTTAATTTTCTAGCTTACAATTTTTTTTATTGATTTCAAAAAACCACTTCAGAAAATCAATATATATGTAAAATACTATCTATCGAAGCTCCCTCTAAATTAGACATGTTCACCTGTTCAAAAAAACCTAACCCGCCAACGTGTCGGGTCAAGTTCAAAACCATGATTTTTTATCCATGGCTCAACCCAAAATAGGAAAACTCTTAGAAATAGCCAACCGAACCCGTCAGTACATTGGGTCGAACAACGATTTTGACCTAATCATTATTCTTAGCCAACCCGACCAGGTATTTGATCAAATCTAATATAAATTGTGCAAATTGCTCTAAAGGTTCTGCCAAATAGACTCTTAATAACATCTATAGTTGTAAATTACTCTAAGGGTTCTGCCAAATAGACTCGTAACGTCATATAGATGTAAATTGCTCTAAGGGTTCTGTCAAATAGACTCTTATGCCCTATTTATTTCAGCTTTCTGGGAGCTTTTGGACCTTCAAAAGCCAAAAAGCTACCATGAGTCAAAACCCCAAAAGCTCAATTTGAGAAGCTTCTGGCTTTTGGCTTCCGGAAGCTTTTTGGCTTTTGGAAGGTCGCAAAGCTAAAGTCTAAAAACTCTCAGAAAGCCCAATCAAACATGCCCTTAACATCATATAGTTGCTTCCATATGAACAAATCATAATATGTTGGTTAACACTGGCTCTAATCTCTGTTGTTAGTGATTGTTATTATCCAGAACCTAATTTCATGATATCAATTTGTAAGAAAAACTGTTCCGCCTGAGAGGTCACGACTCACAAGTCAAGACTCTGTTTTCACATTAAAATCCATGGCAAAGTAAAAAGCGTGAGTCCTGACGGTAAAGGTGCCTTCTGCCTTACACACTTTGCTCTGTTCGTTTATCATGGCTGAAAGTACTGTTGACTGATTTGTCGTGAGAAAAAAATATTATTCGTTGGCTGAAAAAATATGACTTATAAGCCAAACAAACAGAGCGATTGTTTCATCGGGTCCCGTGGGTCTGCATCGGCCCGCCGGAAGTAGGCAGAAGCTTCCACGTTGTCGTTGCCGGTTTGCGGATAGACTTTCCCGTGCAAATGACAATTAGTTAGTGAGTTCCCATGTTCGCTTTCTCCGTTCTCTGTACTCCCATCCCTCTCAAGTACTTAACATGTATAATGGAGACACTATTTTTTAGTTACTTGCGTTCAGGCTGAACCTTTAATTTCCAATGTTCGGACCCGTCAAATGGTTCTAATTCTATCTTGTGTGTATCGGTCCATTTTCAGGTCAAGTACACGATGACTTGCGTCATGCGTGCGTGTGGTTTGGAGTGGCCCCTCGGGCTTGACTGACGCTCCCGGTTTCAGTCCCATCACTTTCACCCCGGCGAATACGCTTGGAGCTGTCTCAGTCCAGTAGCTTTCCTTCGGGCTTCAGCCGTGTTTGATTGATTCCTGGATTCAACAGTCAAGTCTTCGTGAGTCCTGTCACTTTAGCTAATTTTGTCCTATTCGTTTAGCTGATAAGCCATAGCTAAAAGTACTGTTGACTAATTTGTTACGAAAGAAAAATATTATTTGTTGGCTGAAAAAGTACGACTTATAAGCCAAGCGAACAGAAGAAGATGTAGTGGTTTTCTTGATTCGTAATGCCACCAGTGACTTTTAAATGACAGTACTTTCAAAAAAAAAACTTTTAAATGACAGCGCTTGTGCGGTAGGTGTTCCTGTGTTTGCACACTTTTTAATCGTTTGTCTACTCCACTAGTAGCATTATCCTCGCTCTTTCCACGAAACTGCACTCACCCGGGATGAAGAGACTAGAGCGTCGACTCTCTGCCAGTCAGGTCTACCGATCGTCCTCCCGGGATGGATCAGTCTGCAATCACCGTGACTTCGTTGGCAATCACCGTGACTTCGTTGGCACAGCTATGCTCCTCCTCGAGTCAAGTCTTTTGGCTGGCTCCAAGTGCAGAAGAACAACCTCGTCCGGAAGCATGGGCTTCGGATTAAGAGCATGTTAAGGGTAATTGCTAGGCAGCTAGAAAATAAAATTAGCTCCAATATGTCTCAACACAAACGTTAATAGGTGAGCAAATTTTTTAGCAAGTCTTCAACTATTAGCCAACTAGCTAGTCAACCACAATAAATTTAAACTAATTTTAGTTGTAACTAGAAACAGTTAGCTATTCGACTGATGGTTTTTACGGCTGATAAACCGGCTGATGCTGTTTTATTGTGAGAGAAAAACATTGTACCATGACTAATAAGTTCAAGCGAACCGGGTTGACTTGACTAGCTTGGGCACTAAACCAAATAAGCCATGAGTAGGCAACATAACCCGACTAAATTTACATACATGTAACAATTTGAGCCAAATTTAGTTCATGCCTGGTTTAGGCTTTAGATTCAGAATTTCTAAATATCAACCAGCAGATTTCTTGTGTTGTTATCTTCCACTTTTGTGTAGTTCAAATGTTAACGTTGTCTTTTTTTCTCTATATACAGGCTTGCGTTGGGCCTGTATCTTCAGTTCTGTCGGCCCATGTAAAAAAAAAACCCGACCGGTGAGGAAAGAACTGCCCTCACGGCAATGTTATAGGAAAGGATCGTACGACTCAGGTCGAGAAAAATCCTGAACCCTGGCACATACCTCGAAGGACCGAGTGAACCGGGATAAATCATCGTTGCAGAGCCGACGCAGTCACCAGGCTCGTTGCTGTTTGATTTCGTACGTATGACACGCGAAGTTCCTCGCTAGTTCGACTTGAATTGCGTACGGTTGCGGCGTCTGGCGGCGGCGGAGCTATCGGCAGCGGCGGCGGCGGCGGCAGTGGCGTCGTTGGCTGCGGCGGCTGCAGAATTGTTAGCAACGGCTACGACAGCAGTTTTGTCGACTGGAGAGGCTGTGGCGTTATCGGCAGCGGTGGCGGCAGCGGCGTTGTTGAAGGCAGTGGTTGAGGCGTTGGCGGCAACGGCGGCATCAGTGGCGTCCGCGTCCGCTCGTTATCTGCAGTTGTTGCTTGAAATCATCCATTGAGCTATCTGTATGTTATTGTTTTCTGCACTCTCTGGTACTTTGCTCCACAGAATGTGCTATACTGCTCTCTGCGAGTGCTACTCTCCTTCATATGTTTTGTGATATTCTATTTGTTATCTGCAGTTGTTTTGTGATATTCTATTTGTTCTCTGTGTATATGTGTTGTATTCTGTACATGTGCTCTATTTTTTTTTGTATTTTTTGTCATGTCAGATTTTAATTTTTTGAAAGTGGAAGATAACATACATCAAAATCTTCTAGAAGTTGTCATGTGACGTATATATGTTGTATTTTCTTTTATCTTTGTTGTGTGTGACATGTGGCAACTTTTGATTTGCTGAAAAGTGGAAGACATCAAACAAAAAAATCTACCACAAGATGTCTAGTCAGTCCGCCCATACTATGCGACGGGTTGGCTTTTTTTTAAGGCCCAACGGGTTAGCCTTGACGGACCAAACTACGGTCAGTCCCGAATTGAGCCATTTTCCCCAAGACCCAATTGATGACCCCAGAGGGAGTGTCAAGGTCCATTTAACACAGCTCTACTTCATAGGTGGAGTAGTTTTTTTTCCTTTTATTACAAGATAGCTCCACTAATAAAGTTGAAGCTGTTTTGATAAAATGTTTAGCAAAACAACTCCTCCTAACGAATGAAATGATTGTAATGCCCTTATCTTTTCTTCTCCTCGTTTATTTTTTTCCTCATCTCTTTCTTCCACACAGCCTCTCTTTCTTCCCCACGCCTCTCCCGATGCTCCTGTGCTCCGGCCCTAAGCCCTGTGCCCCCACCATGAAAGCTCACAACGCTTGCGTGCCCCGACGGCCATGCCCGTGCACATCGGCAACCCACGTCTGTGTCCGCGAGAGCAAATCTGACTATGGCCATGATGGGACTCACGAGAGCGAGAAGGGAGCTGGGACAAGCTAGGTTTTATGTCCATCTTTAGTAAAAAAAGAATATTTTGTTGAGGGACTTGTATTTTTTCCAAAACGCATCTCGCCAATTATTTTATTAATTTCTCGTACTTGTGGACATAGAACACGGGGAAATGACTTTTTTGTCCTGTCTTCAACGTTCAAAGTGGTTGTCTTCAACGGCGCGCTGGATAGGGCGAGGTCAGCGGCCTCCTACGCGCTTGTCTGTGAACAGTTTATTTGATGATCTGGTCATGCTCTAAGCACGAGAGCTAGTTCTGAAAAAAAAGGAAAATCGCAGAAAACAAAGTCCTGCTCTGATCTCCGATTTCTCTGAACATACCACTTCTATCTGAAGTTCTGATTTCTGAACATGTCACTGGCGGAGGTGACGTTCTTCGGTATGAACGGAACAACCTTTGTAGACCACCCATGCCAATCCAATCAATGAGAGCTCATCCCTCGATCTGCTGACTTATGTGGAGTCCAGCCCGAGAGAAGATCACGTGAGACGTACCAGGTGCCGTAACCTGAGTTAGTCCACTAAACTAGCTGAAGTCTCAGTACTACCAACCCAAACGTAACAAGCAACAACCGGTCGGAGATGCATTCAACACGGGGTTGAAGGACCAATGGACTGAGGACCCGTACGTAGGGCCGTAAGCTTCTCCCGCCAGTTTCTTCTGCTACCGTGAAACGAAACCAACCTCGCGAGCATTCTACGTTTCCAGGCGAGATTTTTTCGTTCTGAAAGTTGTTCCGAATGAGGCGAGATTTTTTCCTGAATGGTGATAGCCGAAGGCAGAGCAGGCGAGCGGCACCTGGCTTCAGGTTGCCCCGTGCCCAGTCCTATATGTCTTGCTGTAACTTGACTACTAACTCGAGCAGCACCTGGCAGCTATGCCGTCGACTTGTTCACTTGCTGTCATTGTGATTTGTGATACAGGCATACTACAGACTGGAGAAAACATGGAGAAGGCTAGTTTTCTCCATCTGAACTTCCTCTATTGCTGGAGCAGTCCACAGATTGTTGCAGCACAAAACAAACAAACAAAAACATGCGCCCGCAAACTCAAATGAACAACGGGCACTCCACGTTCCATAACCCAAAAAATCAAAGCAATTAAGCAGGAAAATCGAAGAGAAGTAAATTCCAACGCTGGGGAAGAGGAGACATACGTACCGCATCGATCCGAGGTCGGGCCGCCCTCGCAGAAACAGGTGAACGTCAAGCCGCCGGCGTGCGTCTCGTCGCGCTGGTAGCCGCACCATCCGCCGGAGCCCTCGCATCGGTCGCACTGGTGGTTGTGGGTGTCGTAGTTCAACTCGAACCCGCCCTGCAGCACCTCACGGAAGGATCCGTTCCCCGGAGGCGGACCGCCAGGCGCGCCCACGACTGCCTTCTTGTGTACATCCAGCACCGGCGCCACCACCACCTCCTCGCACTCGAACTCGTACGCCTCAGCACCCGTGATCCCACCATCCCACAGCACGTACGACCTATTGCCATCTTGTTGTTGTGGTTGGCACCCACTCAACTCCACGGCAGATGACAGGGTAATGTTCCTCTTGCAGCTGTAGAGGAAGGTGATGTTGGAATCGGAGGGCGCGAGCCGCAGCCAGACGGTGTCGATGGTGACGTTCACGTGGAGCCGCGGGCAGCCGGCCCCGTACTCGTCGGCGATGTCGGCGTCGGAGACCAGGACGGTATGCGTCTTGTAGTCGATGCTGGATACTATGTATCTGTGGGACTTGAAGGGGAGGATCAGCGTCGAGTTGCCCTCGCAGACAAGGCCGATCAGGTGGTAGCCGCAGTCCGGCGTAGAGGAATTGAGCCAGAACGGGTAGTGGATGTCTTGGTCGCCGCATGTGGCTTTGGTGCAGGAATCGGGGACGGCATCGGCTACGGCGAGGAGGAGCTGGACGGGGAGGAGGAGGAGCAGGAGCAGGGGAGCCATCGCGCGTGTGAATGGGGGAGCCGAGGGAGAGACCCGGAGGGTTGTTCTGGTTTATGTTGGAATATTTGGGCTAGGCCCATTTATTTCATTTAATTTCAAGGCCCATGATTAATGCTAGGTGGTTAAAGTGATTAATCCCAAATGGATAGTTAAGGAGTATTTTAACCAACGTAAATTGGTGGACTATCTGTACACAAATTGAGAAGTTGAGGAAGAGAGAGAGAGAGAGAGAGGGTGCCACACGCGTGTGTGCTCGCTCGCCGAGCTGTGCTGCGGCGACGTGACATGTGGGCTGGGCTTGGTTTGGTTTTGCAGTTTTTAATCACGAGTTGATGACTAGTAAGTGACGCTGTGTTTAGCGACTAGCAACTGATGTGGTTTAAAAGGCTCACACCAATGACCAGTAATGATTGGAGGTTACTGATGGCTGACACCAATAACTAGTAACGGCTGGAGGCTGGTTAATGGCTGACATCAATGACTAGTAAGGGCTGGAGGTTACTGGTAACTGATGGCTGGTTAATGGCTATCAATCACCTGTGACAGTGTCCAAGTTTGTTGAATCTCCTTTCTCTTGCTTCTATAAAAAAGGTGCTCGTACTCTGATTAACGCGCGCTGAAAAACCACTCACTCTCCCTTTCTGCTGCGGCCCGCTGCTACTTTCGCATCTCCATCCCGTACCTCTGCGCCCACGGAGCAACAGGAGAGCAGGTGCCTCCGGAACCCTCGTCCTCCTGCGAACCTTGCATGGGGTGTGCGGCGATTAGGTTTTTGGGGAGCGATTCCGTGACTGCTCGTCCAAGACGTCTTCTTCCTGGTGATCACTCGCGGAACAGCAAGGTGTCTTCTTCCCGGTGACCATTCGTAGGACTACACTGCGAACACCTTCATGCATCGACTGTGGTCCACGACTTCGAGCAACGCACTATGTCTGGTGCGAATGGAGCCTCCGATGTCCTCGGCATGGGACCCTCCGCTGGGTACACTCTAAACTCTCTGATTACCGTACTTTGTGTACTTACTGTATCGATCGATATGTCATACTTGAATGCTGTAGCATTTGTTAGTGATATACACATGCACATATATGTTGTCACGAATCTGCTGATGTTTTATTTCTAGATTAAATTGACCATGAAAATGCCTAATTTTCTAACAATCTAAAAACCTAATGTTAGGTAATTTTCTATCAGTGATTTTGCTGCTGCTTTGAAGCCGAATAATTTTGATGGCAAGAATTTTATGATATGGCGTGCCAAGATGGTGTTGTGGTTAACTGCTATGAACTGCTAGCCTGAACAATTTACTCCTGAGGAGGAGCAAAAGTTCTTAGCTGCCGATAACCTGTTTCGAGGCGTCGTGATTAGTACACTTCATCCTAAGTATGAGAAAAACTACATATCTTACATATCAGGCAAAGAGTTATGGGATGCTCTTAAAGCAAAGTTTAGAGTTTCTGATGCTGGTAGTGAGCTGTACCTTATGGAGCAGTTGTATGACTACAAAATGGTTGAAAACCGTTCTGTAGTGGAACAAGCTCATGAGATACAGGCGCTAGCAAAGGAACTAGAACATTTTCCATGTCCGTTGCTCGACAAATTTGTGGCCGGCGGTATAATCGCTAAGCTGCCATCTTCTTGGAGGAATTTTGCTACTTCTCTAAAACATAAGAGACAAGAGTTTAGCGTGGCTGAGCTTATTGGATCTCTTGATGTTGAGGAGAGGGCGAGAGCAAAAGACAACCGTGGAAAAGGAGTTGAGTCTTCCGTTGCCAATATGGTGCAGAAGAAAAACTCATTTGCATCCCGTAATAAAAAGAAGAAGAACATGTAAGAGAACAACAATACAAAGCCTAAGCAAAATGCACAGTTTAAGAAGAAAAACAACAAGAAAGGAGGATGTTGCTTTGTTTGCGGGAGTGATGAGCATTGGACAAGTGCATGCCCAGACCGTAAATATAAGCAAGAAAAGAAATCAGCAAACGTGGTGATTAGCGAAACTGGAGGAGGAACATCTGGGTATGGTAATTCTTTACCTTTTGTTTTTTCAGTTTGTCTTTCACCTGAGTGGTGGATGGACAGTGGTGCTAATATTCATGTGTGTGCTGATGTTTCTTTGTTTACTTCCTATCAGGCCGGTAGGACTAGAGCCTTGCTGATGGGAAACGGTTCGTATGCGCGTGTTCTTGGTGTTGGTACAGTCGTTCTGAAGTTTACTTCGGGAAAGACGGTGCTATTAAAGAACATGCAGCATGTCCCCTCCATCAAGAAGAATCTTGTTAGCGGTTCTCAAATGTGTTGCGATGGCTTTAAAATTGTCCTTGAGTCCAATAAGTGTGTTGTGTCGAGACATGGAACATTTATTGGAAAAGGTTATGATTGCGGAGGCTTGTTTCGCTTATCTTTGCTTGATGATATGTATAATAAAGTAGTGAACAATGCTAATGTTTCGGATGAGTCGAATATATGGCATTCACGACTGTGTCACATTAATTTTGGCTGTCTCACGCGACTTGCAAATTTAAATTTAATCCCGAAATTTAACTTAGTCAAAGATTCTAAATGTCAGGTGTGTGTGCAATTGAAGCAACCGCGTAAGCCTCACAAGGCTGCTGAGGCGAGGAACTTGGCACAATTAGAACTCGTTCATTCTGATTTATGCGAAATGAATGACGAATTGACTAAATGCGGTAAACGATACTTCTTGATATTTATAGATGGTTATACTAGATTTTGCTACGTGTATTTATTAAAAACTAAAGATGAAGCGTTGCATTATTTTAAAGTCTATAAAGATGAGGTAGAAAATCAACTTGAAAAGAAAATCAAACGTTTGCGGTCCGATCGCGGGGGAGAATATTTCTTAAATGAATTTTCTGAGTTTTGCGCAGTGCATAAAATTATTCATGAGGGGACGCCACCATACTCACCACAGTCCAATGGGATTGCAGAGAGAAAGAACCGCACTCTAACTGATTTGGTTAATGCCATGTTAGAGACTGCGGGACTATCTAAGAAATAGTGGGGTGAGGCTATATTGACAGCGTGTCATGTCCTAAATAGGGTGACCACAAAGAACAAATAAATTACATCATTCGAGGAATGGGAGAAGAAGAGATTAAATCTCTCTTACCTGCGAATTTGGGGTTGTTTGGCAAAGGTGAATGTGCCAATAAACAAAAAGCAAAAGCTTGACCAAAGACCGTTGATTATGTTTTTCTTGGTTATACTATTCACAGCGTAGGTTATAGATTTTTAATTATAAATTCTAGTGTTCCTGAGATGGCTGTTGATACAATCATGGAATCTAGAGATGCTATATTTTTTGAGAATGAATTTCCCATGAAAATACACCTAGCACAACTAGTCATGAATTTATAATTCCCCATGAGCATGAAAATTTTACTCCGATAGAACAAATTGAGGAACCCTATATGCAAAATCCTGAGGAGGATGACACTATAGTCACTAGGAAAAGTAAGAGACAGAGGACTGTAAAGTCTTTTGGTGATGACTATATTGTGTACATTGTGGATGACACACCAACGACCATTGAAGAGGTATATTCCTCTCCTAATGCTGACTTGTGGAAGGAAGCAGTACAGAGTGAGATGGATTCTATTATGTCTAATGGAACTTGGGAACTAGTTGATCGTCCCTATGGGTGCAAGCCTATAGGGTGCAAATGGGTGTTCAGGAAAAAGCTTAGGCCTGATGGTACTATCGAGAGGTACAAGGCAAGACTCGTGGCCAAGGGTTATACTTAAAAGGAAGGTGAGGATTTCTTTGATACTTATTCACCGGTTGCCCGATTAACTACAATTCAAGTTTTGCTTTCTCTGGCAGCCTCTTATGGTCTTATCGTTCATCAAATGGACGTTAAGACAACTTTCCTAAACGGAGAGTTAGAGAAGGAGATCTATATAGATCAGTCAGATGGGTTTTGTAGCAAATAGTCAAGAAAGCAAGGTGTGTAAATTATTAAAGTCATTATATGGTCTAAAACAAGCTCCTAAGCAGTGGTATGAGAAGTTCGACATAATTTTAACATCTGCTGGCTTTGTTGTGAATAAAGCTGATAAATGTGTGTACTATCGGTATGGTGGGGGTGAAGAAGTTATTTTGTGCTTATATGTTGATGACATATTGATCTTTGGATCTAGTCTCAAAGTGATTGCGGAGGTGAAGGAATTTTTATCTAATAATTTTGAAATGAAAGATTTGGGAGAGGCTGATGTTATTCTTAATATCAAGCTTCTAAGACAAGGTGATGGTGGGGTAACTCTGTTACAATCCCACTATGTGGAAAAAGGTGCTGAGTCGCTTTGGGTTTAGTGACTGTGAACCTGCTCCTACACCTTATGACCGAGTGTGCTATTGAGGAAAAATCAGAGAATAGCAAGGGATCAGTTGAGATATTCCCAGATCATTGGTTCGCTCATGTATCTTGCTAGTACAACAAGGCCTAACATCTCATTTGTTGTGTGCAAGCTGAGCCGGTTTGTGTCAAACCCAGGAGATAATCACTGGCGTGCTCTTGAGAGAGTGATGCGCTATCTAAAAGGCACGATGAGCTATTGTATTCATTATACCGGACACCCGAAGGTGTTGGAAGGCTATTGTGATGCCAACTGGATCTCTGATGCTGATGAGCTTTATGCCACAAGTGGATATGTGTTTTCGCTTGAAGGTGGTGTTGTTTCCTGTAAGTCTTGCAAGCAGACTATCTTAACGAAGTCTACAATGGAAGCAGAACTCACAGCATTAGACACCGCTGGCTCTGAGGCCAAGTGGCTTTGTGATCTCCTTATGGATTTACCGGTTGTTGAAAAACCTATACCGGCTATTTCTATGAACTGCGATAACCAGACTGTGATTACGAATGTTAACAGTTCTATGGATAACATGAAGTAGTGTTTGTTAGTGATATACACATGCACATATATGTTGTCACGAACCTGTTGATATTTTATTTTTGGATTAAATTGACCATGAAAATG